GAACCTCTTGTGTATGTGTCTCAAGTCACCACCATCGACAGCGACCTAAAGTCCATCAAGAAAGTAACAGTCGTCACCGTCCACGGCCTTTCTCCATTCAAGACTAACCCGGAATAGAAGGGTTCTATCTTTTCATACTTTTCTTTTTCTGCCATGGTCTCTAGGCTTGCTTTCATTATGTGTGCATACATGGGCGAAAATAAATTATACTAATATAACTTACATTCATTTTATCATAATTTAATAATTTTTTATTAGATAATTTAATCTTAAAATCATTTACTACCTCCGTTCCTATTGATAATAAAATAATAATTATTAATTTTTTGTCCTAAATATAAAAAATAAAAATTATTTTTAAACATATTAATTGTTAAGTTTTTTTTCATATCCAAAATTTTTTTCTGTGAGAATTATGTTACCGAAATATAGCCCATTATCTATAAAATTGAATACAACTCTTTATTTAATATATATATATATATATATATATATATATATATATATAACATAGCAATTTGACCATTTAATATTATAGATTTTTTAAAATAAATTATTAATTTATGATATTAATTATTTTTTTTCTTGATGAATTAAATATTTATTTTTTATTAATAGAACTGATAATACCTTATTAATATACATCAAAATTATTGTAATATATACTTTTAAAATATATTAATATAAAGATTCCATTATTACATTTTTATAATTATTTAATTTTAATATAAAAATTAAGATAATATATAATTATAATTCAAAAATTATATATAAAATTAACGTAATTTGATAGGCATTGAAAATAAAGACTCACGGGAGTTGAAAATAAGAAAAGTAAAAAATGTAAGCAAGATTTGTGTACAAGTTTTCATTGCCTTATGTATTAGGGATACAGTATCCACCTCAAGCCCAAAAGCCCTCAACAAGAAGACCAACCACTTTTCTCCATAGCTTATCAAAGCCCATAGAGCTTCACAACTCATTAATAATCCGAGAAAAACGAATAAATAAATATAAAAAGAAGTTTAATGAAAAAGAACCACAAGCCCAACACTTGAAAAGGGATTTATTGAGGAAAATTTTGTTGCCTAGCAAAAAAATAATAGTTTAAAACCCAATTATAAAAATAAAATTTATAGATTTGTAAGTTTCTAAGACTAAAGAAGAAAGAGCGCAAGTTTACGCTAGAAAACAAGTTTTAATTAGACTAATTTCGGCGAGTTGTATATGCATATTAAAAATAAAAATAAAGTGCCACGTTATTTGAAAATGGAGAAGTAAAAGAAATATGGTGACAAGTTTTAAATTTTAAAATTTTAAAATATTTTTTGACAAAATAAAAATCTAATGACAAGTTATAAAGATTTGTACGCACAAATTATTATGATTGATATTTTCTTGTACAAAATATATAATATGGTCATTTTATTATTATTATTATTATTATTATTATTATTATTATTATTATTATTATTAGGAGAGATCAAATTACACCAAAATAAGTTACACTTCTTTTGTATTATCAATAATTTTATATGAATTATATTTTTTGTGGATCCAACTGGTAAACTTAATTATATAGTATCATAATTATCTAGGTTAAATTTTATCAATATTAAATAACTATAAGAATACAATAAAGAGTTATTATTTTCATATATTTCAAAAGTATATTTTATATTAATTTTAATATATAAAAATATACATCAACTAATTTGAGGAATCTAAAATTTTGTGTAGACTTACACACTAATTCTTAAAATATTATAAAATACATTGTAATAAAATCACGGAAACCTTTTAAATAAATATTTTGTTAAAAAAAAAAACCCAAAATAGCATCCAAGATGTTGTGCTTCTAACGTTAGATATAATGTTTTTCTTAAACAAACTTTGGGCTGCAAATACTCATTTTACCCGATAAACATAGGACAAAGAGCAATACTAAATGCAATCGTCTTCCCTTTTCTTTTTTTTTTCTTTTTACATTAACATCCACTGCATGCTTTTGTGATTGCGTAAGAATTTGGTGTAGATTGATGTAAAAGTAAATGAATTACTATTACAATTTCCATTTTCTTATGCAACATGTAATTAATTAGTCTTTACATCCATAATTCTCTTCTTTTGTGTAAAGAAAACAAGAAAAGCAATAATAGGAAGCTACGAGCGAAGAAATAAGAAACTAGCGCCTCTTACAAGATCTTATAAACATCTACTGTTTTACAGGTCGCTCTGATTATGCTGAGATTGTGGTTCACTTCTTCAGTTCATGTAATTATTTGTCTACCCAGCAAAGCATAAGCTATATTATGGTTTTAAATTGCAGTCACAACTGTAATTGTGTAAGCTTAGATCGAGTGCATTTGCTAGTAATTATTTCCTAATTAATGTAATTTGTAATTACAATATGTTATGTTGTATTGCTATGGCATTTTGATTATGACATTGTCCCTTGCTTTATTTGTTTGGATCTAGATATTATTTTGGAATGTTTGGCATAATTAAGAGAAAGAAGGGGCAATTAATGACCACATGCATGTACATCCTTTCATAGATTGTACAGATGATCCAAATTTTAAATTTTAAAAATTAGTTTAAAAAATTACTTAAGTCTTATAAAAAATTTTGAATCATATTCTTATCCAACGGAGTACATGTTGAAATATCAATTGCAAGCCATATGCTTAGGGGAACCATAAACAGAAGTATATAAAAGTTAAATTAAAGGGTTTCTTTTGCTTAATGTGAAGGAGGCACTGAGCTATATATTGATGAAGGTAGGACAACTTGCTTGCTGGCTCATAGAAGTGACATTCATCGTTCCCTGAGCACAGCTGGATCGACATAGAACCACTTTGGATGTCATGTGTTTGGTTTTGCGTTCGAAAAAATTAAACGGGCATATATTCCTTTAATTTCGTTCAGTAATTTTTGTGTAAAAAAGCATGTATATTCAGAATTGACTTTGTACCAAACATGCACTTTGTTTAGGAGCAAAAGCATGTTTGCTAGAATTTGATTTTAACTAATGCCAGCATCATATTCCTTAATTAGATAATGTGTATAAAAGAATTTATTGCTAGCGTTAATTTTTAGTTTTTATGTATATGACTAAGTCCGATGATTTTAAAGTTAACAGTGAAAAAATATAATTGTAATAAAAAATTAATTCTTTTTTAAAGTTTATATCATAATGATAGTATTGATTTTAACTGTGAGGTCTATTAAGTTTATAAATTGTATCTGTATAATTTATATTTCAAAAGTAATCTTATTTTATCATTTAAATAAAGCTGATTTTTTTAGTTCATTTGAAAACATTATTCTTAGTCGTAAATCAAATCTGTTTATCGTCAAATCTTTCAGTAGTAAATTTACCAAAATATAAAACCACGTATAATACATCGTAAACGTCCAGACAATATTTGCAATAGTACAATTACTGTAAAATAATTGTAATTTATTAACAAATAAAAGTATATTAAGTGTTAAAATATTTTGTATTACTATAAATTAAATTATTAGTAAAAGTTTTAAAGATTTAAATTAACAAATAATACACCATTTAATTGTTTGTGAATTGATAGTACATATTAATATTCTATACTAATAAAATTAATTTGTATTAATGTTAATACAAATTCAAAGTATTTATAAAAATTATTTTGATTTTTATTAAATATTATATTAATAAAGAGTAATTTAATATTAAATAATTAATAAATGATAAAATTCTTTACAGTGAATATATCATAAAGTAAAGGAACAATTAATACTGCATGACCGTCAATCTAAAAAGTTTTATGTTATTGAATACTTGGCAATAAAGTGCTAACTGCAGTATAAATATTGTAGCAAGAATGTTGTATGAGGAGTAATTTGATCAGACAAAGAAAAAGATAAAATAAAAAATGTAGTAACAAGAAATTAAAACGAGTGTTAACTACCTCATTCTAATTAAGGAGAAAAATATATAATGACCTACTACAAGATATTTTGAACATGTAGGAAAAAGACTAAAATAAATACCCTACATGTAGGGTAAAATAAAAACCATAAATATATAGAGCATTCTAATACTTTTAAAAATAAGATAACTTACATTTACTTTGAAAAAACCTTAGAAAACTAAGATCATATACATTAATTTGCATTACAAGGACTAAAATTAAATTAGGGTAAAATAAAAATAATATCTTATATTAAAAATGAAAATTTATTAATTATATACTTATATACGTAATTAATTATTTTAATGCTATCTTTAGTCTTAAAGATAAATTTTTGAAGAATTTGTTATGATTCTTTTTATAAGACCTCAAGAAATAGTTATATTTATCATTTTTTATAAAAATACTTTTAGATTAAATAAAACAATTAATTAGGTAAAAAAAATTGTTACAAGTCTTAATTCTTTTAAGAATAGATTATATACATACATATATATTAATAAATTTCATGTCATTGATAAAATTAGTTTTTAAAATTTTTATGAAAATAGTTAAAATGATCGTATGTGTTTAACATCAGATGTAGTATTGTTTATTAAATATTCACTATTAAGTGACCGAAATTTCAGACCCAAAGGTAAATTCAACTCCCTCGTCTGTTGATCTCTGAACTGAGGCACCCACTTTCATTCAATGAGAAAATTTAATTCTGTCCAAAAGCTTCAACCGCAGAAAAATCAATTAGGTGCCAGCATTGACTATCTTCCACCCACCTCTTCCATAATCACTTACCAAAAAGACAACATAGTAAAAGCCTAATCCAACACACATGTGATACCAACAATATAATACTCATATATATATATATATCAAATTCTAACGATAGAAATTAATAATTTAACAATTAAAAATTTATCTATTTTTATACATTTGTACTTTATTATTTTAATCAAATAATATGTAACTCTTGAACATTTCTATGGTTAGAATTTGGTGTAACTAAAAAAAAAAAATTATCCCTGTTATATATATACATATAACGTTGTCATTTAGTAACCTCCAAACGTTGCCATGGCCAGAGAACGTGATCTCTTCGCCACCGAGATTGTGAACCGTGGAATTGAGTCATCAGGACCCAACGCTGGTTCTTTGACCTTCTCCGTCAGAGTTAGGAAGCGGTTGCCAGATTCTCTTCAATCAGTTAACTTTAAGTATGTGAAATTGGGCTACCATTATCTCATAAACCATGCCATTTACTTGGTCACTATACCCGTGATTGTCTTGGTGTTTAGTGCTGAGATTGGTAGCCTAAGTAAAGAGGAGCTATGGAAGAAGCTTTGGGAAGATGTTAGTAATGACCTTGCCACTGTGTTGGGTTTCTTTGGGGTCTTTGTTTTCACCTTGTGTGTTTACTTCATGTCAAGGCCACGTCCCATTTACCTTGTTGATTTTGCATGCTATCTACCTCAAGATGATGTTAAGGTAAGAAAAGTTATAGCACCGCTACTTCATCTCTCGGTTGATAATCTCATGTTCGAAATTACCTTTTACTAAGTATTGTTGTATTGGGGCATTTTGATATGAGTTCATTCTCAATTATCTAGACACTTGTATACATTGTCTTTTTAAGCTTTCATGAAAGCATTTTAGTCCTTTAATTGGATTTTTTATTTTTATTTTCAAGTTTATAAAAAAGAACAAGCTTTTATATATAGCTGAATAAACTTTATACTTGGTTTAAATGAGAAGAAAAAAAATAAATAACGATACATTTTTAATTAAATAAAAAATGAAAAAAAAGACTTTTTAGCTAGAAACAAACAAAAAAATAAGTTTCTCTTCCTTATCATAAAAAGGAAGTTAATGTGTGAAAACGGTGTTATTATTTTTGTCACACTTACAAAATATTTGGAATAATTTATAGAGAAGATTCTTAAGTTTATAAAAACTTATGATTCATATAATTTAATAATTTTTTGGGTAAAATTTATTATAATAATTTTTAACATATTTTAATAAATTTAAAAAATTGTTGGCTAGTAATCTTAGAACATTTTTAAAAAAATAATGTATTAAAAATTATGATAGATGTATATTAATATTACTTTTAGTTTTTTTTTTTATATTTGAGTACACAAGATAATGACTATTATGTGAAGTTTTTTTTTAAAAAAAAATCCATTTTTACAAGTGTTTTTGAATATTATGCAGATATCAAGAGAGGAGACGATTGAACTAGCAAAAAAATCAGGCAAATTTGATGAGGAAAGCCTAGAGTTCAAGAAGAGGATCTTAATGTCTTCGGGCATAGGGGACGAAACATACATCCCAAAGACAGCGATTGCGTCCACAGATAACTGCGCAACAATGAAAGAAGGTCGTGCGGAAGCATCATTGGTAATGCTGGGAGCACTAGACGAACTGTTCGAGAAAACCCACATTCGTCCAAAGGACGTGGGAATCCTGGTAGTGAATTGCAGCATCTTCAATCCCACACCATCGCTCTCAGCAATGATCATAAACCACTACAAGATGAGGGGGAACATATTGAGCTACAACCTTGGGGGAATGGGGTGCGGTGCTGGGATCATTGCTGTGGACTTGGCACGAGACATGCTTCAAGCCGACCCGAATAACTATGCTGTTGTTGTGAGCACTGAGGTTGTTGGGTTTACATGGTACCAAGGAAATCATAGGTCTATGCTCGTTTCCAATTGTTTCTTTCGCATGGGCTGTTCTGCCATTTTGCTCTCCAACCGTCGACGGGATTATAGTTCTGCGAAGTACCGTCTTGAACATATTGTTCGCACACACAAAGGTGCTGATGATCGCAGCTTCAGGTTCGTTTTTACTTTTGTGCAGCAATATTCCAATCATTTCAGAAAAACTAACATCAATGCTTTTTAAGTAGGATGGAAATAATAGAATGAACTCTGCTAAGTTTTGTAAGGCTAGAATTTAGTTTAATTTTTCAAGTCGAGTCTACTTCATTTATTTAATACGAGTTACTTTTAGATGGTATGACTTGACCTATTTTACAATAAAACGTTTAAAAAGAAATTATATTTATTTTTAAAATTAAAAAATACATAATTATCATTATTATTATTATTATCAGAGTATATTTGATAAAATTAGTAAATAAGTTAACCGAAAGTTAATAAAATAAATAAAAATTAAAAGTTGATAAGTTAATTAATTGAATGAAAAATATTTCATAAAATTATATGTTAGTTTAGCCGTGTAAAATAATAAATAAAGACATCATCATTAAATAGACTAGAATTTAAATTTTAGTTATTATATATTTTTTAAAAATTATTATTTATTTTATTTAGAATTATTTGTTATCTTCAAGATTAGATAATACTTTTTTAATTTTACTCTCATTTATAAATATTTTACTATAAAAAATATAATTTGATGAATTTATTAAATCCTTATTTTTATATATGGTCCTATTCTTATAGAAAAACAAAGAGACATTTTTTTGTTAAATAATTAATGACAACCAAAATTGATTGTAAAATTTGTTTAATTGCAATTTCAGCAGAAAGGGATATGAAAGCTTCTCACGTGGACCTGTGAATTGAATGCTAGAATCAACGTGCATGCTGTCAGATATTTATATGCTATTTTTGGGTTTGCATGTATTTATGTTGGATTGTGCCACCGCCTAATTAATAACATAAACAAAATTGGGGACCAAGTAGTCCCCCACCAAAACACAAAAAAGTGAGCCAATCATTAATATATTTATCATGTTTGCTATTAGCCATTAATCAGCTATAATTAATCACCTAATGAAAATTTTCTCTTATTATCACCATAACAAAATATTATTGTCATGTACATATATTCAACAGGTGTGTTTACCAAGAGGAAGATGAACAAAAATTCAAGGGATTAAAAGTTAGCAAGGACTTGATTGAAATTGGTGGTGATGCACTCAAAACCAACATAACCATACTAGGACCTCTAGTGCTACCCTTTTCTGAACAGCTTCTCTTCTTTGCAACTCTTGTGTGGAGGCACTTATTTGGCAACAAATCTAATGGTAACTCCCCATCATCAAAGAAGCCATACAATCCTAACTACAAACTTGCTTTTGAACATTTCTGTGTCCATGCTGCAAGCAAACCCATTCTTGATGAGTTGCAAAGGAACCTTGAACTCAGTGAAAAGAACATGGAAGCTTCTAGAATGACATTGCACCGCTTTGGCAACACATCTAGTAGTAGCATTTGGTATGAACTAGCTTACTTGGAAGCAAAAGAAAGGGTGAGAAGAGGAGACCGTGTTTGGCAATTGGCTTTTGGTTCTGGCTTCAAGTGTAATAGTGTGGTTTGGCGTTCCCTTCGCCGCCAAACGAAGCCTAATGGGAACCCTTGGCTCCATTGCATTAATCGATATCCTGTGTCTCTTACTCAAACTCCATCAGCAACTTCACTCAATTAATCAAAGTTAAAGCATTGTGATCAATCCATCAATCAGTGTATGAAAGCTACGCTTCAGATCACTAATGGTAGTCCTTAATTCGTGTTTCAAATTTAATTGCAAGTGCTTTTTCATTCTCTATCGTGCTCCCTTAAAACTGCACTATAATGGTAATAGTCAATGTTCAATGACTCAAATGTGATGAATTATTATTATTATTATTATTATTATTTCCCTACCTCAACTACTGCCTACACATTTAAACAGAGATTAACAAAGATTTAAGTGCTGAAGCCAACATTAAACAAGTTGATATTGCTATGAAGTTTGTGACGCGAGTCCTGAGAGATTGATTAATTCTTCTCCTACAACTGAACTTTGTAACAGATGTCATCTCAATCACTTATTTATGTGACTAGAAAACAAATTATGAATAATAATTGAGTTTAATTCACTCTTAAAATAATTCTGTAAAACCAAATATACGTAAGTAATTGCCAACATTCAAATTATAAAATATCTTAGTAAAATAACTGCCGAGGATGATTTGGTTCTTTAGATTTAATAACATAAAATTACAAATTTAAAACAACAATAATATAATAATAATATAAACGCAATAAAAAAGTAAAAGATAGAAAGAGAAGAGTTATGTATGTAATTTACGTTTAGCTCCTAAGAAATTATTTGAGATTTTTTATACATCATATCAAGTTTTTTCGTACAAAGACTCTGACAAACTTCCCTTTATCTTGACCCAAAGCAGAGTCAACCTTGTACATAGAGGCATTCCACATCAACTATTACCCTTTGAAGAGTGATTTGGGGGTTTCTAAATGATAAATTCCATGTATTGAAATAAAAATGTAGTTGATAATTTGTTTTCTATAGTTGCTCATTTATCTAATAGTTTGTTTTTTAGCTGTCAATTCTCTTTGATTCACTAAATACGTAATTGAAGGTGATTTTCTGTCATGTTACTTAATTTGGCATATGAAAAATGGTACTATTACTTTTGAATACAATTTTTATTGTTAATTAAAAATTATAAAAAATTTAAAAAATATTATAAATAGAATAATTTTTAACTAATTAACTAAAAATATATTTAGATAAGTATATTATAAAATGTGTTCTGAGTTACCTTGTTTGCTGACACGCAGTACTATAGTTTGGTATCCAACGTTTCAACTTGCTGATATACGGTGGGCCTGGGTTTCGTTTATGCTCATATGGTGGGCCTTGGTACGGTGCGTTCAATACGCATAGAATCACATACTATAATTATGAAAATTTCAAATATCACTCCTTCTCATTTTTTTTATAAAAAACATATTATAAATTAAAAATATATATAATAAATTTATGATATATTTTAAAAATATTTATAATAACAAATAGTAAATTAGTAACTAATACATTAAAGGAATAAATTTATTTACTTGTATGAAAAATATGAGTGTTTTATTAATTCAAACCTAACAATAAATAAAAGTATAAAAAGAATTTATGTATATAAAAATATATCTTTATTTCTTATATTATATATCAAAATTTTAGTGATCATTATTTTTTATAAATAAAAAAAATTATTAACTTTAGTATTGAGGGTTAAGGATAAACAACTAATAAAAAAAAAATACATAGTTATTAAATTGAAGTTATAAATATTTATTTTTCTAATAAAATTTTATTATTATTAATTGCTTATCCTCAGTCTTAAGTACTGAACAAAATCTAATAAAAATATATATTCTCACATTCATATATCTATTATTACTCTAACTTAAAAATATATATATATATATATATATATAATATCTATTATTAATATAATCATAAAATAAAAAACATAAAATCACTTTAAAAAATATCATATGCATGTGAATATAACAATAACACGTTATAAATAAAGTTGCTACCCATCCACATATGAAAGGATCACACCTAACAAGGCATTATTGTAGCAACACATTTTTAAATCTCCAATAAGCACCTGCCAACATTTTGTTTCATTGAGTCCGTACTCCTTGTTTCTTTTTGCTTGACCTGCAATTTTCAACGCCCATTCAAGACCATAGGAGGAATAAAAATTACTCAAACATCTAAAGCATTAAATAGCAATAAATTCAATTTCATTATAAGATATATAAAATTTGCATAAAACATAAGATTGTACCCTAAATCAGCAAGGACAAGAAAATATTTTCATCAAATTCAGCACCAGATTCCTCTTCATTAATTTGTGGGGTTGGCAAAAGTCCTATGCAGTTAAAACTTAAAATAAAATACTAGTTAGCAATGAGCAATTCAAAAAATACTGGAAAGAAATAAAATAGTAAGTAGGGTTGAGTAAATTTCATCCCTTTAAACTCTTCTCAAAGCTCTTTTAAATTATTTGTATTTGTATTGGGCCAAAATTAATTTTGAGTTCAAATTAAAGCTTCAACTATTTTTTTAAAATATCAAGATTTGAAATTATCTTCTCCAACATTTTCATTAGATATAAATCAATCTCACTCTTATTCATCCTTTCAATCTTAATGATATCTTTAAATTTCATAGCAAAGGAAGGATTTTCAAGTATATTAGTAGAAACAACAATTATTATCTCACCAACTAATTGTATAAATTATTTTTGGACCATTTCTTCTAAAATATTGGTAATTATTAAACTTTTTTTTTTAAGTCTACTTCACTCTTTAAATCAAAATTTTGCACGTTTGTTATAGATTTTTTCATAGCTTCACTTCACAAACCTAACCTTTTATTTAGGAATAAGTATAACAATAATAAAAATTAACGTACTAATATTTTTAATGCCTTTTCATTATTTATCATTATTACCTTTTATTTTCTTTAGTCATGTTCTTCGGTGAGATGATCCTACATCTATGATCTATGTTTAATAAGATTAATTTTCTTTAATATCTTTACTCTTAAGACGTAGTTTCTTCATCCTTTCACTTTTTTTTCCCCCCAATTTTGAGAGCTTTTAACATATTTGGATTCTTTTGAATATCAGTAAAATTGAAGGCCTAGTTTGGATAAATTTACATAGAAGTTCTTATTAAAAAAAATTAATATAAAAATAAATAAATATTTTTTTTCATAAGTAAACAATTTATCTTTTCAAATTTTAAAATTTCAAATTTCAAAGAAGTTAATGAGAGAACTTTTAAAAATATAGAGAAACATAAATTGTTTATAATCTTTGAAAAAAGTTTTATTTATTTTTTATACTAATTTTTTTCTCCTATAAGAATTTCTCTAAAATTTTATCTAAATTGAGTCAAAGTGTGCTAAGATAATTAAATTATTATTTAGTAAATTATATTTACATGAAGGTTTGTGATAAATTTATCTATAAAATTAGTTCAATTTATCCTAAGAAATCAAAATTAACTAAAAATTCACATATAAGAACCATAAATTATTTTCATAATTAACTATAAACTCTTTCAAATGGCTCTTTAGTTTCAAAAAATAACTTATAGATTTAACATTATCAATAAGCTTTAAACTAGTTATTAAAATATTAATTTAAACTGAGAAGGGGGATAAAGTTAGTAAAGGGAGATAAGTTTTTTTTTTTTTTGGATACTGTAAAATAAAAAATGATTTAGAAAAATTATTATTAAAATAACACTTATTTCAAATGAAGGGAGTATAAAAGCCTGTATAAATGACTAGTTTGCATGAATTTCTGAATAAATATTAATAAGAGGAAAAAATAAGAAAGTACATTGAATTGAATAATTTTTATGAGTTAAAATGAATTTATAATTTTTTAAAGTTTTTTATTTATTTTTTCAAAAACGTAAGAAGATATATGAACTAATTTTATTTGTTTTATCTTTTTAATTATTTTATATAAATATTTATTTAAAAATTTACTCAAATTTAGCCTTAATTAAAACCTACTCCCCTTGAAATGGCTAAATTACAAGCTTGCTACCTGTGACACTAACTAAATTATGTTATTTAATTGGTCACATAAATTAACAAATTAGGAGAAAGATATTCATCACGAATTATTTATGGCGCCTAACTCACGATATATTACAAGTCTTAACTATTAAAAAAAAAGATGAGAGAGAATTATGAAAGTTGAGTTCAGTATGTAGAACACATTATTCAAGAAATTTCAACTTAAAAGTAACTTTTAATTTTAAAAATCGTATATAAAATTATCAAACATCTTTAGTGATTGTTTGAGAAGGAAGAAAAGGGAAGGCAAAATTTATATTTTAAATAAATATATTTAAAATTAATATTTTTAAAAAAATATATTGATAAAAATTTAATATATTAATAATATATGTATCATTATAAATAATATATAGTTTTTTTAATTTAAAAATAAAAAACATGTTCTCCCGTCTCTTCCCCTCTAAAAACTCTCTCCTAAGCATATTATTAGTGAAAATTTTCGTTCATGAAAAATCTAACCGTTGCTTCTATTAAAATGCTATATATACATATATATTTCATTTTGAAATTAAAAATTAAAAATTTGAAAAGTTATGTGGTATTCAATAATCGTAGGATAGGAGAGGTCAAACTCCACTAAGTAAACGCTAGTACATTGTTGCTTTTATTTTTTTTATTTTATTTTTTGTCTAAGATTATTTACGACAGGTAATTTATATTCGAAATAAAAATAATTATAACATGTGACTAGTTATATAAATAATTTTACCGTAAAAACCATTTTAATAATTATTTTTCATGCATAAAATTTAAAGTTATATAAAGCAAAATTAAGTGAGATTGTTTTTTAGAATTATTTATATTATCAAGTAATAAAAATATAAAAATAGTAATTTATGATTAGTTGATTATTAATAGATATACCTCGTAAATCAATTGCTTAAAAAATAAAGTTTATTGCATTTTTTACATGACCAGAAATAAATTACACATGTTGTGTAGATGATAATTAAAAGAAAAGTATTGGTTACAATACTCCTAAACTTTGTATTGTATACTCTCTTTAAACTGAGAGTTGTGTTTAATGGACTCTGGAAGTTTTCCTTAAGGCATTTATGCGCTTAAGTTATTCTGGCAATGCTTTTTTTAAACTTGATTAATCGTTTGTTTTTCAAATTTTTAGTAAGCCTAATATATATGTATCTTAATTGAGCATATTTTGACGAAATACTTTATTAATAGAGCTTTTGAAAATAATAAAAAATTCCGACAAATATACTTTATCCAAACATGTACTTGATTAATTTATTTGAAAGAGACGCTGGGTGAGACTAAAAAATGACTGGAGATTAAACATAATTTGGGGGAGGGGAACGAACACTTGGCACAACTTGGCACAATTCAATCCCCATTTCAGGTTGGCCAGATTGGTGTAACATCAGAATCGGGGGCCTAGGCTCCCAGAAGAGCTAAATCCACACAATCAAGTGTCAATATGATACCCAATTCCATATGACCCAAAAAGGAAAATAATAACAATAATTGTTCATTTTCATTTTTTATTTTTTTTGTTTTAACGGGTGTTGAGTAGTAGTCACCAAATTCCCAAGAATTTAAGGAAGATAAAAACCAAGTTAAATCTTCTAAGGCTGCAGAAGGAAAGATGGAATCGCTTGAAGTGTAACAAACAAAAAGATATATGACACCAAATTAAATTTCTTTCGATATGTTACGAGAAGACTTGAACAAATTAACTACATGCACTGTCTTCTTCATTGTACTTGACAAGCAGTACAAAGTACAAACAAAAAGCACTTCCTTACTAACAAAATTTCATTTTCAAAAATCATGAAACTTCATATATGTTGAACTTACCAAGTTAAGGTAGGATCTTGGAAGCAATCCTCGAAGCACAAGCTCTCGTTTGCATTATTCAACCAAGCTGGAAATTCTCGTAGTCCATCAAAGAGATATGCACCATCTTCATTATGGACTTCATGTGCATCATTTTCCATGTTCTTCGAGAAATTGAACCACCAAGTTGATGTGACCAAACTCATAGTGTCGCTCCATTCCATTTCATATTGTTCTCCTATTGATCTGATCTCTGCCATTCCCTCATCATCCATGGCTGTGTGCAAGCCTCCACTAGCATTGGCTGAAGCATTGGATTCAATTGGGTCAACCACCGAGGAAACTCCTTCCCCTTGTGATATTCTAAAAGAAGGAGCTTCTTGATCAGTTGATACAGAAGGTGGAGGAGAAGATGATGATGGAGATGTGTAAGAGCTCAATGATGAGTTGTTATTGTTGTTAAGGAAAAGGGTATCTTCTAAATTGTTGAAATGATGTAAATTAAGGTTCAATCCCAAGGTCTGATTTGGAAGTGTGAAATTGGGATTTTCAGCTACAGGGGTTGGATGAGGAAATGGGAAAGTAAAAGGGCAAGTATGAGAGTTTGGAGCTGAAGGAGGAGGAGGGCTAAAGGATGAATAGGAGAAGTCATCCTTGTAGTTTGAAAATTTTGTTGTGCATGATGGGTATATCCTTGGATTTCTACTAGACTTGAATCTTCCATCTTGCTCAGAACTTGAGACATGGTAAGGCTGCAAGGAAAGTGATTGTTGTTTTTGTTGATGATGTTGATGTTGTTGATGCTGCTCCTCACTGGCTTGTTTCATGGCTGCCCTGTGGTATTTCAAGGCAGTGACAATTTCCCTCCTTGCCTCTGCCATATTCAGAAGTCTTTCTTGATAAGGCCTACTAGTGTGGAGTCTTCTTCTAACCTGCTTTTTGTGTGGTTGTTGTTGGGTAAGTTGTTGAGCTTGACGGTTGCCTAGAACTTTGGCATGTTTTCTTAGATTTCCACTTGAGGAAACATTGCCATTAACAACACCACAACCTGAGTCTTTGGTGTTCATGGTGTCTTTTGGTTTTTTAGGTTGTTAGTTGTTTCACTAGGCTATGGATTAAAGCACCAGAGAGAGAAAGGTCTTCTTCAATTTCCATTTGGTTTCTTAAATGCTATCTACCTCTTATTTCTATGTGGTTTGGTTCAACTTTGGTGTAAATAGAATTCAGAAAGGTGTGGTGGATAGGTTGGTGTAATTATGGGTTTTATTTGATCATATAACACAGGCACTAAGTACATAATACAAAGGGAGATAGTGATGCAAAGGAAGTGCTGGTCCTCTTTGATGGCCCTCATGGGGGTTATAAACAAGTTGGGGACAGCATAGGGCTTTTATATTGTTTTGGACTTTTCCGTGTTTGGCAAACTACGTTTGTTAACATTTTATTACCCGCTTTAAATGGATTCCTTCTGAGGTGTGTGATGTGGTCTCTCTCAGTCACACACCATGCCATGTCTTCAACACTACAATACAAATTTTGCCTCTCTTTGGTGAATGCCCTTCTCATTGGCTAATTTCTTCAAAACGAAGAAAATAGAACAAAACAAGTTGCATTTTCATAAAAGAAAAATAGAATTTTTTTAGTCTTGTCACCGGTATTTTTCAAAAACAGTGATCATTTTCCCTCTAAGAACGTCTTCAGTACAGTGGAATTAGTATTCTTAGTGAAAAAAAATCATCCACAAAGTTTGATTTCAAAATCTTTTTTGAATAAATGAAGCAAATAAAATTTGTCCTTAGAACCAAAGGATTTTTTTGTAATTTAGTTGGTGCCTCAGCAGGGGTTACAGTTAAATTACTGGAGGAAACAAAAAGATCATAGATATCAAATTACAGAATATATTCACTTCATTAGCCATCAGGCATACTTACCAATTATGAATCAAACAACTTTTCCGTAAATCGTAATGAAAAAAATATCTTGTGTATAAGTTAATCAACCATTGATAAATATAGAAGGTTCAAACAAAGTAATTATCCTTTTATTTATGGAAAAAGAGGGGTGGGAGGACATAGAATACACTTCATGTGCCCCAAATAATTCACTTTTTCTATTATGGAAAAAACAATTGACAAGAAAAACAGATATTTATTTTTGGTTGAACACTTTTTTTAGTTTTATATTTTGATGTTACTTTTTAAATTAGTCCTCGTATTAAAAAAATTATAAATATACAAAAAAGAAATATATTTTTTTGCTTTTAAAAAATTTATTTTTTTAAAAAAACAAGCATGTTCTAATTCTCCTTTTCTTTTTCAATCATATTGAATTGTTTATAAGAATCAACTGTATATAAAGCAAAATATTGAAACTCATATCTAATTTTTACTTGCAGTCGTTGCAGAACAGTTTCATTAATAACTGCTCTTTAAAATGATTTTAAAAATTAATTTTAATGTAATCACTTTTTAATATTCATTTGTAGAATATAATTTTATAAATAAATGTTCTCTAAATTCACTTTAGATGGTTATTTTATGTATAAATTTATAAAATGGTTATATATTAATTACTCTCGTAAAATAAAATTTTAAAATATACTCTCATAACCTCTAACTTATAATTCTAATTTGGCATAAACATATCCAATAAATTTTTTGGTTATCAACAAATATGCTTTATTGTAGAACCTCCATTAACTGTGCGCTTTTTTCTTTCCTTCATTTTAAAGTTGAACCAAATAAACAACAAAAATTTCATACCAATCTTCAACTCACAGGAAACTCATTTATAAAAGGTGATTTATATGGAGTGATAGAGATAACAGTGAAGATGAGGACAAGAAAAAAGTGGTAAAATCTCATATGAAGTATGTCCTGCATAGGTTACAAGAGATTGTGTGAAGGAAACACAACAAACTTCAAATTTTGAACAGTAAGAAAGTGATATTAGATAGAAATCTAAGTAGATGCTAATGCACAAGGAAAGGACAAGTGGTTCTATGGTTACAAAGATGTTCCATAAACATTGTTTTACTAACTCTAGGTTTATTTATGGTGGTGGAAGTCATTGTTGTTTTGAATACAACATTAATGCGAGAACGAGAGGAATGAACAGTGGACACATAATAATATCGCTAATGTAAATGATCATTTTAAAAACAATTTTTTATATAAGGACTATTTTATAAAAAAAATTACGTAGAATCAATTTGAAAATTGGTGTTATGTGAACTAAAAATCCATTTAAACTTTTATTCCTTTAGTATTTGAAGAAGACAGGTTAAGGGCATGTTGATATAATTAATTTTAATAAAATTAGTTTTAAACTATTGAATGTAGTTAAGTTGTGTGAATAAATTATTTTAAAAATATATATTTACATTAAAAATGTATTTTTTATCAAAATATAAAGGTTTAAATACTTTTTAACTGCCTCCAAATAGGGCTAAATTCAAAAAATTACCTCAGAATTTTTTTCATTTTAATGCCTAATTATTTTTTTTCAATTTTATACTTAACGTTAATCTCTGTCAGTTAAATAGTGACGTGGCTAATAGTTTTCCACGTCACCGTCGATCTCTCTCATCCACCTCACCCTAAACCATCACATCAGATTTCACATCAGCATTTTTGAATTTTAACTTAAAAATTGCATTTGCGTTTTGGGTTATGTGAGGGAAAGATGACCAAATCTAAAATTGTAATTGAAGAAGAAGCACAAAACGAAGACGCTGAAGAGGGAAAGAGGGTCAAATCTAAAATTGTAATTGAAGAAGAAGCACAGAATGAAGACGCTAAAGAGGAAAAGAGAGTCAAATCTAAAATTGTAATTAAAGAAGAAGCACAGAACGAAGACGCTGGAGACAAACTCGAAAGGAAGAAGAAGCAGAAAAGGAAAAAGAAGGTTAGGGTATTATCCATCTGAGGTTCTGTTTTGATTCTTCGTCTTAACGAAATAAGTAGTATGGATGGTTCATCGTGCTCATCTTTTGCACGAGGTGTAACTTGCAAATGTAAAAAGTCGGATATAATTTTGATCTCACAAAGCAAGGATAATCCTGGTAGAAGGTTTTGGAAATGCTCTGATTGGAATGTAAGTTCAACTGGTTGTGTTTGTTCTAAATTTGTGATTGTATTTACAAATTTGTTTGTATTTGGTTTGGAGGAACCTAATTCTTGTAATTATTTTCGTTGGGTTAAAGAGCCTATAGATGGAGACAATGAGTCTGTTATGTCGAAAGAAATCCATACAATTCAAGAGTTAAAGGCAAAGATTGATGATTTAATGGAGGTTGAAAAAGCAACTGAGGAAAAAATGACAAAAACCAAAGAAGAGATGGTGAGACTTCAGCAAGAATGTGATAATCTCCATCAACAACTTGCATTAATGAAGCTTAAAATATCCCATAAAAAGAAAAAGATTGTTGTTGAGAGGAATATGGTGAAGATTTTAGTATGTTTAGTGATTGTACTTTGGTTTTTCATTACCATTGTGAGCATTGTAGTGGCAATGAATGTTGTTGGTAGGAAAGTTTTAAATGTTGACAGTTTGTAATTCAATGGAGTGAAAGTTGTTTTGAATATGGTTAAATGAATTCAATGACATAAGATTTATGCTCGTGACTATGTTCACTGTGTTATTTATTCTGTTAAGCCTGTTGAATTTGGTTTTTTTATTCTGTTAAGCCTGTTGAATTTGGTTCAATGACATAAGCTTTATGATGCACATTTGTAAATGAAAATCATGTAAAATTGATAAATTGATCTAAGCAGCAAGTAATTACATACATTAATAAGCCTCACTCCTGTGTCAGCATCAATTACAAAAGCACTGCCTGGAAAGTTTCACCTTTCTTATAAAAATAAGGTTGATTAGATATAATTACTATCTTTCCTGCTATAGAAGTAGAAAAACCATTTACTCTTTAGGTGGTCAATTATTTTTGTCAAAATTGATCATGATTTCACAACAATTCACAATCAATGTACTGTTATGATTACTTATTAACAATCCTAGGTTTCTGTGCCAAGTTCCCTTTTATAAGAGTGGTCCAAGGGCTCATTTTCTCTCAAAAGTTCAACTCTGACGTAAATGAAAAGTACATGTCCATGTACACGCCGATGTACTTTGACCGTGTACATCTATAATCTCTAACATTTGCACTGCACAACTTTTCTAAAAAGTACACGCTCATGTACACGGCTATGTACTTTGACCGTGTACATCTCTGAACTCTAACTTTTGCATTGCATAACTTTTCTGAAAAGCACACGCCCATGTACATGGCCATGTACTTTGACCATGTACATCTCTGATCTCTAACTTTTGCACTGCACAGCGTTTCTGAAAAGTACACGGCCATGTACTTTAACCGTGTACATATCTGGTTTTGATGATGTACTTCAAATGAAGACGACCAGTGAGGTACACGTTTATATACATGGCCGTGTATTTGTCTGTGTATATCTCTGATTCTAATTATGTGCTTCAATTGACGTGACCAGGTACACATTCATATACACGGGCGTGTACTTGCCTGTATATATCTCTGGTTCTAATTATGTGCTTCAATTCCAACATCTACATATAGAACAGTGATCCCAAAAGGTGCGCATGCTGCACATTGTTTAATGTAATCAAAAGGTATAGAAAGTGGTCCATAAAAAGGTTCTCATTCACATGAATATTAACTTAAAGTAAGTTGTTGTACATTGTTTAAAATAAAGTTACATTACTCCCAATATAATATAACATAAAGATTATTCTCCCTCCCAAAATGGTTTCCAAAAAACACAGTCTTCATTCAGGTCTGGTTGATTGACTTGGTGGAGTTGATAAAGGTGGTGGAGTTAGCCCTTCATTCAAATCTGCAACAATAGCTTGATACATCTCTGCAGCAGTAGATGTTCCTTGTGCTCTTGCACTAGATCTTGTGATTGGTCTCATATGTAGTCTTGTTGGCACCATTTTTGCCTGTAAAGGTAAATTATTAGCAATTTTACTAAAGTGTTCAAATGATATGGCTAATACATATACCTTTTTTTGGACTGCTAAAGATGGTTGTGCATCTACTGCTACAGGTAGAGAAAGTACTGAGCTTTCAACATTTGCCTCAGTTGTTTGAGTGTGTGTTGGTTGTGGATTGGCTGGCTGTGGACATGTTCTTGTGTTATGACCATGTACACCACATCTTTTACACTTACATTTACCAACATCTCTTGTCAATCTTGTCAAATTTGGATTAATCTCATCAGGTTCCCTTCTTCTCAGTTTTTTAGGTCTTCCAGGACCCTTTCTATTTTTAGGGGTAGGATCTCATCAAATTCAGTTTCAGGCCACATGTTCTGGCCATTTGTGGTGGAAATCTTATGTGCATAACACATGACATAAGTATCCCGAAAATAATGGTCATTAACATAGTTCATCAAGTCTAATTTTTTGAATTGTAGGGCAACCACAGCATGTCTGCATGGAATACCCACTAGATCCTAGAAATTACAACTACAGTAGTTCCTATTGATATCTATTATAAACTTCTCACCAGAATGTAAATGGGTCACTTCAAAGTCTCCATGCCCTCCCCAACTTGCTATCTAATTTCTTGACTTTTCAACCTCCTTATCCAATCATTTTAAAGGCTTAGGCATAATTGGTCCCCTGTATGCACTAACTTTCTCCCTAAGGTTAGATAACCTATTCATCAAATACATCCTTATCCACTCAAATATTATAATAATTGGTTTATCCCTTGCAATCATAATGGTATTGTTAAATGCTTCACTGAGATTATTCATTAGTATATCATATTTTGGGTAATTTGAAAATTTATGCTTACACCATGATCTCCTGTCTAGATTAAATAGCCACCAGTAGGTAGCCTTATTCAAATCTCTGATCTATTGCATGTAAGCCTTCCAAAGTTGTTCATATGTTGCTTTGGCAGCACCCATCATGAGATCTCTTAGTTGCAGTTCTCCTCCAAACTTCTTCTTAAAATTGTTGTATAAGTGCCTCAAATAGAACCTATGCTCAACAGAAATAGAAAATTCTTCAAACACTTACATCAAGCCCTATCAAAAATGAACCAAAAACTCAGCAAAAATATCAAATAAAAGTGAACCAACATCGCAAAACGGTTCCCAAAAACTAAAAATAGACACTTAACTTTTGTTGGTCACTCATAAAGACCCACTTGTTATCCCCAATGGAGCCAATATCTTCTAAGAGCAAATTCAAAAACCATCTCCAAGTATCATTTGTCTCAGTCTTCACCACAGCAAAACCCGACTTCCACTTATAATCCTTATTCAATTCATCAACATTAAATCTGGAATATTTTCTTCTATAACCATCTTCCTCAGAGTCACCACTGAGCAACTCTTCACTTACATAACCATGATCAATATCATCAGCTTGTACTTTTTGTGCCTTATAAAAATCATCTACATTGTGTAAACTTTGACTACTCTGACAAAAATTATTCACTCTTTTTTATTGCCTCATCCTAGCACCTTTCTTTTTTTTTTTTCTTTTTTTGCCACATCTAGGTTTCTTAATAGCAGCAGTAGTCCCAACATCATCATCACCTCACCTCACCTCCAACAGCATCATCCCCACCCCCAACAGCATCACCACCCCCAACAACAGCATCCCCACACCCAACACCT